CCCCCCCCCCCCCCCCCCCCCCCCCAGACATTCAGCCCGCTCCCTGTATGCCGCTCGCTACACCCCCCGACCCAACACACCTCTCCTTGAGAAGCCTCAGGCACTCCGCGGCCGGGGCGCTCCCCCCCCGCGCCCCCTCCCTCAGCCCCGTAGCCTTCTTCTTGTTCAGGTTGAGCGCCACCTCCACCGCGGTGCGTCCGGCCTTGTCCCCGATGGTGCAGTCCGCGCCAGCCTCGAGGAGCAGCCTCACCGCGGTTGGGGACTGCGAGAACGCCGCGCAGTGCAGCGCCGTGTGCCCGTGGCGGTTGCGCGCAACGAGGCGGGGGTCATCGGGGCCCAGAACGGCTACGGGAGCCTTGCCGTCGCCCGCCGACGCGTAGCTGCCGGTCTTTCGCGGCGGGGCGCTCGTTGCGTTGTTTGACGGGCCGGTGGTGCTTGTCGGTCTGGGCCGCAGCAGAGCGTTGAGGGTGGCGGAGCTCGCCTCCGTCTCCACCGCCGATAGGCACGCCACCATGAGCGCTGTGATCCATCGTGCCGGACGTGGNTTTCAACCCATCTCCTATGCCCCAGTACAGCTACCGTCCGTTCCTCTCTATTCCATGCCTCAAACATCTCCCTGTACGTCCCCTCTATTTTCCCCAGCTCAGTCACGTACACTTCCCTCTCCTTGTACCACGGACATTTCGCGACTACATGAACACGGTCTTCGCATTCGAAGCCGCGATCACTTTTGAACTCATCGTCTTCGTCGTCTACCGTCCTATGTCTTCGTCGACGTTGGGGGGGGGTAGGGATGAAAACACTTGTGTTCGAGGGTGAAGAAAGAGCACCCAACCTTAAACGGCTGCGGTTGCTCTCGTCTATGGGTGGCAACCGGCGGCCCGCCCAAATATAACCACGCTCCCCACCCTGGGTCAAACTCAAACGTCGCTCCGACTGACGCCACCCGGCAACCTGAGGGCGATGACTGCTGTCACACAAGTGACGGGGAAGGGTTTTCATGTGCTGGAGGCGATTCTGCTTCGCGTTTGTAAGGGTATCCCTGACCATCTACGGAAGAAAAGTTGGCTACAAAAAAAATAGACCTCCAAACAGAAAAAGAGAAGTGCTTGACGATAGCCAAGGGCACGACAGCAGCCCGAAGGACAAAGCTACTGCGATGTCAGCGCGTGAAGGGCATAGTTAGCAAGGACCACTGCCGATGCTGGTAGCTCTCTCGACAAGGCGGCGATGTACCTGTGTCTCCCTGGGAAGTGGCTTTCTCCTCGATAGTCGGGTCGACCTCGAGAAGCCGAAGCACGATCTCTGCCTGTTGCGTGTGGGGGGCCGGGGCGGGGGCGGGATGGGACGGGAAATCAGGAGACCAAGGTGGCGGCGGCCCTCTTTCCCAACAACAATCGAAACGGGTGCAATATTCCTGCTCCTCAAAGTCGACGGAGGATCTACCCGGCAATAAGGCTCCCACATTCATTGGCTGTTGCACCCTACCGCCCCACGATTGTTCGCTGGATGACGCGTGGAGCGGCAAAAACGAAAAAGGTTGTTGTAGCCGGGGGGGGCGCGGGGGCGGGCACGTGCGGCCCGCGTGGTGGCGTACTTTGTCGTGCAACCATGCCATGAGCCAGCACCCCAACAAGCAGAAGGGAGCCCACATGATCGATTTAATCGGAGTGCAAACGAACGTGTAGGTCGCTGGACTCGCATCCTTTGTACCCATCCCTTCTCGTTCCTACCGCTTCCCTACAATATCTCTGGCACTTTACTGCTGCCCCGCAAGTGTTCACAATGAACAACTGACAAACGGAGGACAGAAACACTCTGCTTCGCGTCTGATGAATGTAGCTGCTTGCGCACCGCGTTGTTCTTAGCCGCGATGTGAAGGCACGAGCTCTGCGTGTCGTTGGTGACCATCTTCGTGGACGCCCTCGCCTTAAGGAGTAGGTCCAACATCTTCAACTCCCCTGTCGCGGCGGGAGCGGCAGCAGCGGCGGCGGCGGTAACAGTAACGGCGTGGTTGGAAGAGGTCCCGAGGCAGAGCGCACCTGAGATAACTGCTGGCCCCAAATACTTCAGGGAAGCGGGCAGGAAAGCTACGTAGACACGATGCAAAAAACATGCCCGGGACCGATTTTCAAGTCTCGATTACTCCGCAGCAAAGTTCAGGCTGTGGCTGCGCCGAAAATGGCGGCGTCGGATCGTTGTCTCGCCGACAGCCTTCCGACAATATATCATGTGACCTTGGTATCCTCTTGGTCGTGCAGAATGTAGTCGCTTCGAAATGGTTCAGGGGATGTGTTATCGGATGCAACCTGCGCGGTGTGGATGCCTGTTTTACGTTCGGCACAAGGCACGTCCAGGGTTCCAGGGAGAAGCATTGCGGTACAGGAGTGAATATTTTCGGAAGTGACGAGAAAAACGTAGGGCACAACGGAAACTTTCAAGACAATCGTTGGCCTTTCACTTACAGTAGAAGGTCCCTATTTAGTGCCGGGGTGTGCGCCCAAATTTCACCGGCACTAAACCGGACACCGGCACTATTCGAAGTATAGAACGACTTGGTATTCCAGTGTGTGTGTGTTTTCGTCGTGTTTATCATGGCGAAAGTCCTCCCATTTTTCGTGGTGAGACGTGTACTACACTTTTCAGCGTATGTAGAGCACTATACTTTTCAGTGTAATTTGTGTGCGAGCCGAAAACACCGGCACTATAACGGCAACCGGCACTAAACATTGATCTCTACTAGCTGTATCTGGTAAAATATTAATACTCTTGATCAAATAGGTCGAAGGTTTCTCTAATTGTCAGATCCACTAAACAACGACCTATCCGACCCAGGGCGGAGAATCGCGACGTCATTTGACGCTCAGATACTACAGTACTGGCCTGCTTGTATCATTTGTTTTTTTTTGTCAGCACCTCAAGTCAGTGCTCACATCAATTACTTGTGCCGTTTACTCCAACCCGTGGTCAACGAGAAGGGTTCCTCTCCGGGAGGCCCCCTACCCACCCCTGCTGCGGTAGATTGTTGTTGTTTTCATAATAAAAACCGTTCCGATCTCTCTTAGATTACGTTCCCTTGATAAAATGCATGCATATACACCAACCGATAACCACCTCCCATGATACCGGCTGTGCATACAACGGTCTTCGTTCTCTTGAGTACTTCACACATCGGTATGCATGAGTCAGAAAGGTGCCGTGGTGCCGCCACAATCTTTACCTACGCGTGTACAAAAGCTGCGGCAGTCTACGACACATGATCTAGAAACGCCATTGGGCGCTGAGGAAAAAAAAAAAACAGGCGGAACTGCAAAAATCTGAATACAAAGTAGGGCCTTGTTGGCTGCACGCTCAACGGGAATGGCTACCCCACCACCATTCACTTTCCCGAACAACGGTCAGCGTTAGCAACGAAAGAGCAGCGACCGAACTGTCCTCGCTTGGCCAGTAAGCTAGATTTGTTGGACAGCTTTCTGGCGCGGCATGTTTTGACGGCGTATTTTGGGGGTTTTGTTTGTAGTGTTGTCATCTTTTGCGGTGTGTGTCAGCCGTGAGAGAATCTACCGGCCTGTTTCACGTGGGTGGCCAGGTATCATCTCGACCCGGCACATCGCGCGAAGCGATTATCTATTTCGAAGCTTGGCCTACATTGCTACGTCGATGTCAAGGGGGGGGGGGAGCTCTGCTGTAGCCCTGCTGTTGGCGGAAGGGTGCTGCTGAGTGCCGGTCGAAGCGCGCGCGATATCTATCTTACCTCGTTCACAGGCAATGATGAGTGGCGTTACGCCCTGCGCGTCCGTCGTGTTGACATCTGCACCTCGAGCCAGCAGCGCCGCCGCGCGTTGCACGTTCACCTGATGCACGGCCTCTAGCAACATGGACATCTTCTGCGGAGAGTGAGAGTGGTGCTCGAGGCATCCACCGCCTCTCAGCAATTATGTGACCTGCCAGCTGCAGAGGACGCACGAAAACCGCAGAATCAAACGCTGAACGGACCAGCGGCGGAGTGCAGTTGGGGGAGGGATATGGAAATCACGATTTCGCGGCTCCCCAAATGTGGATGCTGCACATGGCATCGACCAGCGACCCAGGACAACCGACCACTCTCCGCTTCCGCTGCCACATTTTAAAGCTTTCGATAGACCGGACCGCGTGGGTGGACCTCTTGACAAGGCGAGTCCTAGATCAGACAGCTCCTGCTCACAGCTTTTGCTGAGGATAGAGAGGTGCTTGTACATTTTCCCGTCTACAGCAGCAGTGTATCTTGCTGCGAGTCCAATGTATGTTCTCCAAGTATGTGTAGGCTAATAGGCCTCTTTGTCTTGGAAGGTCCTGGTTTACGGTAGGTGTAATGGTGACGTTGCCTGGATATATTCCCTAATGGTGCGTGTTGTGTTGTTATACCGGGGTGTATAACGCTGTTGGCTGACATTCTTTGTAGGGATCGCCTCAGGCCGGCTGCTACGGGCCTGTTTTTCAAAAAAGTTGCACCAACTTCATCAAATAATTGTTTTTGGGTTGCGAACACGCCGCCGTCGGAAAATACCGACTACAATCGACGGTCCTCAATAGCGGTGCCCTCAATAGCGAGATGCCCTCTGCAACGGCAACAAATTGCTTGGCACGAATGCATCTGTACCGCTATTGCGAGAGCCACCATTGAGGAATGAATCCTTTATGGCGGTACTGTGTCGCTATAAAGAAAGGTCTATAATATAATCCTGCTGTTACAGCGATAAAAGTATCTCAGGCAGGAACCGCAGGAGGGGGTCCAGCCCCCCCTCCTATGTGACCCCGGTTGGGTCGTCTCGCTAGTAGAAGTGGAGGATGGGGGCCAGAGGGGCAAACGACAGAGTCTTCCCCTTCTTCCCCTCGCTGCCTCGGGAAGGTTTTGCGTAGGCATGACCCATAGCGAGGGGGGGGTCTTTCTAGCGATCAGGGCTAGACTCACCCTCAAGGGACCGATACCTGNCCTTGGGAGTGTGGTAGATTGGAGGAGATTCATGAAGATTCGTTTTGGGTGTTTGAGCGTTCTGCGTGACTTGATGCCGTGATGGAATGACGAGCTCAAGCACGCCCCCGATTATTACAACACGTATACAACGTTTCCCAACACGTTTTTACCCATCCAAGCCCCGTCATGGTCCACCCGCTCTAAACTCCAAGCACATAGAACTGGGCCACCAGAGTTATCGATCAAGGCGTGCGTAGTGGTGGAGTTGGGTCGGCACTGGTGCGTCAGGTACAAAGGTGCAGATGCGCGGGCCTCCAGACCGTCGGTGTAGGCAGCAATGCCCATCTCATTTTTGTGCGCGGAGGTAAACGTCATCAGAAAGGTGGACTGGCACTACGTACACGGCCCTAGGTTTGCTAGAGGGCGCTGTACTGTCTCAGTAACCTGGTTTTGCCATCAAAGGAGGAGGGGACAGGTGGTGACGAGCTGATTGGGCTGGTTGACCCCTTGGCGCGAGAATTTTCAGACCAAGAACCCTAAGTGCAACGAGGGAGAAAGCGAGGAAACGACTGGTAAGGACAGCAACGAGAGCGTGTACGAAGGGGAGCGGGCCGAGTTTGGTCGTGCTAGGACTGGCCACAACGGCACCGGAGCAGCGGCACCGGAGTAGTGGCACCGGAGCAGCGGAACCGGAGCATGCGGACGGCATCGAATCGTGGCGCACGGACAAACACCTCTTGTGTTGTCTATTTTTTCAGTTTTTTCCTGAAAATAGGTGTTGGGTGTGTGTGATGACGTCACTGGTTTGTAGAGAGACGCANGCGGAACCGGAGCATGCGGACGGCATCGAATCGTGGCGCACGGACAAACACCTCTTGTGTTGTCTATTTTTTCAGTTTTTTCCTGAAAATAGGTGTTGGGTGTGTGTGATGACGTCACTGGTTTGTAGAGAGACGCAGCAGAGATGGCGCGGATAACCCGGGTGCCTTTATTGTGTACCTGCATCGTGGAAGACCCCGTCAATGTGGAACGATTCCTAGTCAGTGTCGATGTTTACACTGCTGTGCCTAACACAGATGATCTGGATAGATTCGGGTGATTGTCCTTTGTAATGATGGCTTTGGTTGGGTGTTCTTCTTGATTGTGTGTCCACGGACTCATTCTGACAGCACTTCAGACAGCAGCTGCATGCCCCGAGCTTGTGTACCATGCACCATGGTGTTATTTTTGTACAGACAGCACTTCAGACAGCAATACGCTGTAGTCGACAAACATTCATTTTGGTTGAATGCGGGACAAGGGGGGTGATGCTGCTGCTGTAGTCGAATTGTAGTGTGTGGGCGTGTAGTTCGGTTGTGAGCACGCAAACGTGCTGCAGGGATTGCAGGTGTACCTCCTCGGGCTTGTGTACCCTTTTCTTGCTAATAGTGTGTGTGTTCTTTTGATCTTCTGATGGGTCTAGCATTTTTGTGGCCACGGACCGAGTCTTTGCTAGATTTTGGGATTAGCAACTGACACGAGTTTTAGTGTGGAGAAATACAACAACAACAACAACAATATCAACGACAACAACAAAGATGGGAGAAAAAAGAAAAAAAAGACGGCAATACAAGACAAAGGCATGGGGAGCATCGAAGGTCATAGGGCTCTGGGGTAGCGGGGCTCACGGCTGCACTCAATGCGCTCAGTATGGGCGTGAAGGAGGTACTGTAGCGGTGGGGGCAGGTGGTGGTGAAGAAGACTCAGAGATGTGCGAGGTACTCTCGTATCTCGGCATCGTCCCGGGTAACCCCGCCACCCCGGCAGCCATCGAGGAGGTCGAGAGTCTTGGGTGCAGCTAGAGGAGCAGGATGAGGTGGCCAAGACTCTCGCCGTGGACGCGGAGGCGGCGCTCAATGAGAACATAAATGACAACTTCACAGAGGACTCCGATTCCGACGAGGAGGAGCTGAACGACACGGGGGAGGTTGAAAGTGCTGGGGGTACATAGGAAGTTGATGGCGCCGCCGCCGTACTCGGATCTGTCGGGATTTTTTGGTCCACTAGAAGCAGTACGCACAGCAGTAGTGGTATTAATGCTTTGCATCTCATCAGTGATATCGCCGTTCGTCATGTTCGTTGCACGACGTTGCCGACAGCTCCCGGTCTGACAAGAGGGAGTGTGTTCTCGAGAGTGAAATGCCTTGTATTCTCTCCGCTCTCTTCGTCTACCTCTCTCTTGCCTTTCGCCGGTGGGGTCCCCACAACGCGCACCGGGATTGTTTTTGGTAATGTTTTGGGGTCCCCCACCCACCTAACTATTTTTCAGCAGTTTTCTGTTTTTCTTGCCAGGTCCATGACGCGGTGGCCTGGGTGAGTATGGTTCGGCAGGGAATCGCAATCCATAACCTTCTCCCTGAGTTTAGCATCAGCTTCCGCCTTCTGTGGCAGACAAGAAGACCGGAAATTGTCTCGCCGTCCAATCAGCCTTCTTCGAACAGCTAAAACAAAGAGGGTCCGGTCTGCCGAAGATGCTGTTTTTTGTGTTTTCTTACCGACCAGTAATCTCGGCTACCGTGCAAATCTCATGGCGCCTCAAGTACGGTTTCGTAGGGGATTTAAAATCACGACCCTTCCTCAATTTTGAGTATCTCCCGCCTCCTGCGGCTGATTAGACCGGCGTCAAACCCTAAACCTACATAGATTTTGTCTGTGTCTGCCATGTCGCCATCCATTCGCGAGCCACACAAACGACGGTCCGCTTCGCCACCACGAAAACAGGCTTTTTCGCGATTCTTGCTGGGTGAGAGATGGTGCTAAACGAATGTATCCGGTATAGCTAGCGGTGTTTCAGCTTGAAGGATAGGGTCGACGGCACATTCTATGCGAGGGGTTAACGCCTTCCTCGCGTAGCGATGCGCATCTCCCTCCGCAAGCAGACGTCATGATTATGTTCTTTGTTGTGGCTATAACAATTGCAAATTCGCCCGGGCGTTCTTGTTCTTCCTCGAGTGAGAGGGAGGAAACTACCCGTCCTTGTAATCTACTGCTGTATGTGAGGTAGCGCGTGCTGCCCCTGCTGTTTGTTGCAGTAGAATGGAAAGCTTCCGGTGTGTCAGAGCCGCAAGGGTGCCTTGTTTCTTCACTCTGCACTCCTCTACTTCTTTGTTTCCTGTCGCTGGCGGTCTCTCTTTTTTCGTCGCCCTTCGCCCTTGCTTGCAAGAAACTGCGAGGACGTACTTTTTTCTGAGAAACCGACTGTCTGACTGTTTCTTGGGGTCCCCGACCCACCCGCAACCCACCTGTCGGTATGATTAGTGGTCTCCATTGTTTACAGCTAATAACAGCAGTGGTCTACTGCAGGACATACATGCGCTACACTGCTGCGTCCATGGGTGCAACAGAAGGGCCTTCTACTGAAAGGCTCCTGCCACCACCACAATACGACTTTATGCCATGTCCATGACGGGGAACGCGTACTACGCCTCCGCTTATTTTTCCCGTCTCTACTGTTCGGTTCTTTCGCTTCGGAGAGGAAGCCTACAATCTGAAAATGACATTTTCTGGGGTCCGCATTTTTTGTTAGTCCCGCTAGGTCTTCAGGTCTTGAAGTAAGTACAGTGTTTGGGGACAATCCCCCAAGCGACAAGCTCTCAGAACTTGTCATCAATGCTTGTGCGACACGTCCACGACATTTGACCTTGGACGAAAATGGCGAAATATCACAAACTACACACCAGAACCAAATGACATATACCAATGCGTCGAAATGTCATCATCATACATCCAAGCGTACTCAAGCCGGCAACATAATACCGGAGAGGGGCTGTCAATGACCTACGGCGGCGGTGGCATCAACTTTTCCACGTGCAACGCCCGTCCACAATTATTACAAAATACTTAATTATTCACCCCCGAAGCCCCTCCACCTCCTCCCTCAACAAGAAGACAAAACAAACGTTTTTCGAGCGCTTTCGCGTCAAGCGTCTTCGCCCTCTCCATCCTCCCCCCTCCCCCCCACCCCCGTAGTAGCCGGCTGCGGGCTAGTGCAGTCAACCTCGCGTAGGGGCTACGTGGATTGTACCACACCCCCGTGCATGAAATGTGCCCCCTTCTAATTCAATATCGGCTTGTTTATATAGGAAATTTTATGGCGTTTGGGGGAGGGAATGGGGCCTTCTTACCCCCCCCTTACCCCCCCTCCCCCCGGTGTTTGCCATCGGGGTTGGGTTTTCGTCGCTTGGCAACGACGTTGTAAAACAAGCCCCCCCCTCGGTGTTTATCGGGA